ACGAAGGAAGGAAGGGGCAGGGACCCATGTAGAACTAAGCACTCATTATCATTGATACCCCTAACTTTCCTCTGTCCTAGATTCACCTTGTCAAGACATGACATAGTAGGACTGCTATGACTTTGTGATTAAGGACACTTTACCCCCATCTGGTTTCTTTGCAATAACTTAAGGCTAGTACTTTGCTTCACCAATGCCATATGAATGAGAATAGTTTTTAGATGGCATAAAATATTCATCTTTGGTGGTGAGCATCATGTCAGAAATGAAGAGGAAAGAAAACAGAAGTCAGGCACTGGGATTTAAAGAGGGTGAGTGGTATCAATTTGTGGTATCAATTTTTATACCATCCTTTCTTTAGTAATACATACCTTTCAGCAGCTCCAGAAGCCTAAATAAAAATTGGTTTGTAAAGGTCTATAGTGTCTCTAGCCCAATCCCTAGGTACATATTCTGGTCTTGTCTCTCTGTACCCAAGCAAAAATGTTTCAGCTCTGAGATGCTCTTTCTCTTCTGGGAAAGACTGCTTGCCTCAAGCAGTGAAAGTTATAAACTATTCCCCTTTCACATTACAGTGAAGCTGCAGGACTCAGTAAAGGGATCCAGAGGAAATATTGAATTTACTGTACTACAGAATGAAAAAAAAAAAAAGAAAAGAAAACCACAAGGAAAAGGCTCCAAATGTTTTGAAGAGAAGCCAAATATTTAGGCCTCAGGAACTAAGGCATCTGGACCAACTGTGAAAAGAAAACCAAATTGTCTCTTCCTTTGACCAAGGGGAACTTAAGTATGATGCGCTAGTCAACCACCAGGCAGCATATCTAATTTATGATATTTTGGTAAATGCAAATATTTACATCAGCATTTCAAGGATCTGATATTTCATCCATATGTGTATCCACTCCTCTCACACAGACAGCTGGCTCTTCCATGCTTTATCAGGAAGTCTTTGTGAATGACTGTGGCCAAGAAGGAAAATTCTTCAGTTGCTGACCACATTTCTGACGATGAACCTCTCCAAACTTAGCTAGGTTGGCCTGGGGTAGTTAAATATGCAGTCCTCCTATTAGTTAGTAAATAGATTTTAGGAAGTTGCCCTAGACTCAGAGATTAAATTATTTGCTCAGGGTCCCCCAGGTAGGAAATATTAGGGATAAGACTATTATAAATACTCTAACAATAAAGGACATATGAAGGAAGACACTACCTGCATCCAGAGAAAGAACTGATAAATAGAAATATGTATAGGATTTTACATACACATATATGTACATGTATACACATATATATATGTATGTATATGTATACTTATATGTATATATGGGAATGACAAAATATCAGAAAAGCTTATATGTCAAGCTTAGAAATGTCCTACCTACCCTTTAACAAGCAGATTTATTCCTAATTATTAATATATACATATATATAATAAGAAATTAAATATGTGTCTAATGGTAGACGTCTCTAGGGTGGGGGAAGGGAAGAAAAAAGAAGAAAAAGAAATTTATATATAATTTTATTATGTATTTAAAAGGAATAGCAAGTTGTACACAATAATTTGCAGTTTCATGTGCCACCATTTTTAAAAAAAAATTTTTTTTATTAAACTATGTTATGGAAATGCTTGTTTTATTCCATAAATTAAAACCAAAATAAATTTAAACTTAAATGTTGTTGTTGTTGTTTTTAAATTTCCAGGGCCTACCACACAAAGGCTATGTGAAGAAGTGGACTGAAAGCAGTCCCTAAAGACTTGAGTTCAAGTCTTGTCTTTGACACATACTGGCTCTGTCACCTGGACAAGTTACCTAACCTGTTAATGCCACTGCTCTGAGTTATAGAGGAGTTGCCTTCTTGCTTTGGTAAAGGGAATTTCCTCACCTGGGAGTTACCCCTTCCAATAAAACTATAGGTCTAGTCCTTATCTCCAGCACCTAGCAAGGTGCTTGGAAAATAGTAAGTGTTTAATAAGATATTATTGATTTACGCATGACTCCATCCACCTCTCTATGCTGCCTCAGAGACAATCATCATCTGAATATTTCAAGTTTGTCTGTGAGGAAAGTGAACAGTGCTCCATTTACCAGGTGGGACTCTGGCTGAGGGGCTTAGGGACTTGCCCAGCCATGATATACAATTATCCCTTCCACATTGTGACTTTCCCCATCATGATTTCAATATATTGTGGGTTGGTATAAGAAATTAAATGGGAATTTTGAGGGGAGTTTTGCAAAAGCTGCAGATGACACACAACATTGAAAAAGTTTAGAAAGAAATGCATAAAACATATGTATGGTATTGTAGAATATCAACCCAAATTTTACAATAAGGTACTCTAAACATCCCATAAAAGAAAAAGAAAAAATTCAAACTTCTTCTCTGGTATGAAGGAAAGGCCAAAAAATTTGATGTGGATTTTCCATATCAAGGGGGCACCATGCCCCTAACCACCCCCAACCCCCAGCAATGTGGAAGGGAAACCTAGGGTTTCATCTTGCACCTACATTCCAAGGCTCACTTCCAAGTCTCTCTGCATTAGATAAAGGGAATGTACCATTACAGAGAAGTTTGCAGGTTTGTCTGCTTCTCTTCATTTCACTAAAACTACCCAGAATTTGAAAGGAAGAAGAAAAGGAAGATGATTAGAAATGTTCTCAATTTTAAAAAAGTCATTCTTAGTGCTATATCAATATTTTCAATATTTTAAATTTTCAGGCTGGACTGATTTTGAAGAACATGTCTTGTCTGAGGAATTCAGGGCAGTGATAATGTTTCCAAACCAGTTCCACCCACTGCTAGATAGAAATCCGTGAATTGAATTTGATGCAATGTTAAATTCCCCAGCCTGGAACTTCATTGACTTTGTGTGATTAATACAAATGTATAGTTTGTATTAGGATTATTTCCTTGGTCTAAGCCTCAGAGTTTCAGCTTGGCTAAGTGTCTCTGCATGTAGTATTAGGATCATTTGATGTTTGCTTCCCAATTGCAGTGGTTTGCATAAGATAGTAATTTTTAAATTAATAAAAAAATTCACGATGTCTATGAATAAGTTTCCTCAGCTAAAGAATATCATCTGAAGAAAGCTTGAGGAAGAATCAATTTACCATCACGCACTCCTAGTTAGAGGCAGCCAGGTAGCCCAATGGATAGAGCTCTGGGCTTAGAGTCAGAAAGACCTCAGTTCAAATCCTTAGACATTTACTAGATATGTGATTCAGGGCAAGTCACTTTACCTCTGTCTGCCAAATCTTCTTCAAATGTAGAATGGGGATAATAATAGCACCTACCTCACAGGGTAGTAGGTATTCTGCTACTGAATATATTTCCTATCATCCCATTCCTGCCCCATTTTTGCTAAGCCTCAATCACTTTTCCAGAACCTCTCTACTTTCTTCATTCAAGCACCTTCTGAATTACACATCCTCCATAAATTTTTCCTTGACTAATGTAGGGAGCAGAAATAAAACTCTCCTGTGCTTTATTTATCCTCCCCCTGACCATAATGTAAATATTTAACTTCTCTTTTACCTGACTTAGAAAAAATACATGTTTACCCTCTATTCAATCCTTGTTTGGTTCTCATTTGTGCGTTCTCTTCATGTTAGGACATATAATTGCTACCTGTCTTGGAATGAGAACCTTTAGAGTGTAGGAATGATTGCTAATGAATTCCTTCTAAAAAGGGCTCAGCATAGCATTCAATAAATGCTTTAAAGAAGTGATTATTGGGTAGCTTATACTTGCATTCACAAAAATAACTTCTGAGCTTAACCTTCCTGAAAAAATGTAAGTACCTGAACAGCTAGAAGTAGAGACTGCAAATAGGATTGAGGGGAGCAGAGGAAGAGACATGGGGCTTCTTCTACCTCAAGATGGATTTGGGGTTTGTGTAGTAGGGGGAGAGCATGACAAAATATCAGAAAAGTTTACATAAGTCAAGCTTAGAAATGTCCTACCTATCCTTTCAGAAGCAGATTTATTCCTAATTATTAATTAATTCCTAATTAATCCCTGTAGATTGGTAATCTGATGACTCTAATCCACACCTTAGTCCTTTTGAAACATGCACAATTTATAAAATTGGTGTGGGGAACTCCCAACGTGGAGGTTCACTTTGCCATACAGATATAACTCATGTAATTGTAGGGAGTTGCTTGGGGGCACTGAGAAATTCAGTGACTTGATTATGGTCACAAATATCTTACGTATCAGAGGGAGGGCTTGCATCCATTCTTCCTGATTTCAAAGATGGCCTTCTCTGGACTATACTACGTGATGACACTCTCCCACACAAACAGCACCTTATTTTCCATCATTTTTTATTGGTTAATCGTTTAATGCACACATGTCTCATGTCTACAACTAGATTAGAAAAGTCTCTGTTCAAAGAGATAATGTCATATAATTCTTCTGCATCAGTTAGGTGGCCAGTGGATTGAATGCTAGACTCGGAGTTAGGAAGACCTGAGTTCAAATCCTGCCTCAAACACTTAGTTTGTGTGACTCTGGATAAGTTAGTTGGCCTCTCTCAGCCTCAGTTTCCTCATCTGTAAAACAGCAATAAAAATAGCACCTACCTCATATAACTGTTGCGAGGATAAAATGTACTTTGTAAACTTTAAAGTGCTATACAAATGCTGGGTATTATTATTAATAATCATCCTTATACCTTTTACAATGCAACAGATTGATTATAGCCATTGTCTATGGTACTGACGTGATCTCATTTGACACAAGAATCAAACTATTTTTAAGAATCACTTGTTCAGATTATTTAATCATCATCTTCAGCCATCTGAAATATAAGGAATATGAAATAGTTGAGATCACCTTTTTCAACTCATTATTCAAAAAATGCCAAGAGTAATCACCACTGGAACCAAAAGTTTACCCAGAAGTTCTTCATCATTTCAATAGCTTTTAATTAAGTGGCAATTCTAAATCAGATCGAAGAAATCACATCCAATACACTACAATCACCGATATTTATTGCCTACCATTGCAGATGCAACACGACTGATTTTCACTGGGTTCCCTCGTCCAGAGAGATCCATTTGTGCTTTGTCCATTACGAATAGGCAAGCATCCAGGATGCCATCTTCAAACTATGCAGTAAGAAAGGAAAAAAAATTTAAACTGCTTAATATCCATTCGACAGAGCAAATGTTCTTTGCCTAAAAATAGATGAAGCAAAACTGTATTTTAGTCCAATGTTTGGAAACCTAGATTTTTAAAACATATATTAATCACCCACATTTAGTGAGAAATGCTCTGATGAAAAGGAGGAAAATATTCTCATTTTCAAAGCAGTTTTAGGGGCCTGAATATGAAAGGTGATAATGATATTTTTAGACAAATAGCATATTCAATCCCACAAATATTAAGTACCTACTATGTGCAAGGTATTGTATGTAAAACTTAATACATCTAAAAAGAGTAACATACTAAGTCATAACTATTAAGATAACTACAAAAGTGCCCAATCGTTAAATGAACATGAAATTTAAGTCTTTCTGAAAATGACCTATTCATTTCAGAGGACTCTTCAAGCAAGTCTCTTACAATGCCCAAGGCTAAACAAGGAATGATTTACTAAAGTCCCTAAACCTCAAAAACGACATGAGTCCTTGTGAGTTTTAAAAATAAGCTGACTCTTAGGTATATCACTCTGAAGAATTTCTGGCTTATTTAGATTGCATTCTGAAATAATAAGTGAGCTTAACTGGATCATGAAAGTCTAAGGCTTCTACTCTTTTGAGACAAGATGGGTCCCAGCAGCAACAGGAAGACAGATAGACCTAGATAGAGTAGAATTTGTCATCAAAGGAAATGCCCAATAATACAATTCAATCTGCTTAGGACAAATTACTTAGGAACAGAAAATACTGTAATGGTTAGAGGCAATAGCTAGTATCATGATAGTCAGTTATTATGTGTACTGTAGAGTAGCAAAAAGAGGACCAGACCAGTAGTGGAATGAGAAGATCTTAGTTCAAATCCTGACTCTGCTTCTTTCTATCTGTATGACCTTGTGCAAATCACTAACCTCTCTGGACCTTTCCTTATCGATAAAATAAAGGACTTGGACTAGATTACCCCCTAATGTCCTGTCCATCTGTGAATCCTATGACCTTCCTACCAGCAGTAATGCATACACATCCTGAGTGGGTGGAATAGCTTTGCTCAAGGAACAAAATCTGCTATGACTATTTAGTCCATAGTGACCATGATTTGAGAGTTGCAAGGGATCTTAGACACTGTCTAACCTGACTTCTTCATTTTACAGATGAGAGAACTGAAGCATTGGGATATTAAATGACTTGCCCAAGGTTATATATACAGTTAAAATAAGTCAAATTTGAACCCAGGTATTCTGACTCCATTCCTCTTTCCAGTGTACCTTTTCTTAATTGATTTTCATTGATTTTGAATTTCTACAGTCATTGGGAAAGTGAATTTGTGTTCCTTGGTTTCTTAAAAGCCATTTTCCAACATCAGCCATTGTTAATGGCAAAGTTTCTTGATACTAACAAAAGGAAAATGCTTCTGGGTACCAGAAACATGGATCCACAGACTTGTAACTTACCTTGTAAGTTTCCCAGAAGGCCAAACTCTTATTCTGGTATAATTAATAGCACCAAATTAACATAACTTGAACATTTTAGAGCTTAAGTAAACAGAGCAATTTCTCAAGTGACCCTAATAGAGTGCCATTGCTCACCAGTTATTTCCCATGCAGAATGAAGTCCAATGAGGGCTTTATCAACCAGCATTGGGAACTTGTCTAATGGTGGTGATTTGATTGCTATTGCCTCTATCTCCTATCTACAGGCCTTGGTAAGCTAGAGAAAATTACTTTGGAAGGGAACTGTATGATTCCACAAGTAGGCTACCCAAGCAGAACCTTGTACCCTGAGGGACCACCTCACCTATAGTTTCTAAGATTCTTTACTCAGCTGATCTTCTGTAGGTTTGTATGTCTCCCTGTGGGTCAGAGTCAGAGCAAAATGCATCTTGTAAATTTCGTTCAACATACATTTATCATGACTTACTGTGACCAAACATACTGCTCAATGATGGGGACATAACACACAAGTGCCATTGCATTACTGGGAACAAAAATAATGCTCTGTGGAGAGGGAAGAGGACACTGTTTATCTTTGTGTATCTGGGTGGAGAAGGAAAGTCATAAGACCAGGCTCAGCTGGAAAAGTTGCTGGAGATGGTAGTTAATACTGTTAATTGATTCCACATTAGGCTAATTAGGCTCTTTTTTTAAAAGCAAGGCTTTCAGATTCCATCATCTCCAAAATTATGGGAAAACACAGAGAGAATAAAGCCATACCCTTCCCTCAACTGATCAATGTACCCATGTGTCTTTGGTTATATTTCCTATAATATTATTTTGTTCCTTTCAATAGACTTAAGTTTAGTTGTTGTTGTTGTTTTGAGAAATAGTCATTTGGGATTGACCTTGGTACATAGCTCAGAATTGAGATCATATTAGAAGCTGTGATTAGAGTCATTTCCCATGGGACTAGCACAAAGCTCTTTTTAAGGCGAGGTTCTCAATGATCTCATGTGTCTAGGCTGTAGTACTACAATAATTCGTAATTACACAGTGCTTGCCATCCAATGAAGTTTACAGCTCAAAGTGTGATTCATGAATCTCAGTTAATCTTCAGTTTCTCTGGTGAAAGAAGCAGTTGGTAATTACTCCCATTTTCATTATTTTGTTGAAGGTGGACAGGTAGACAGACAGTCAGATAGATAGAACATTTAGTAAGCACTTAATATGTACCAGGCACTGTGCTAAGCACTAGTGAAAAAATACAGGCAAACACCTCAAGGAGTTTACATTCTAATGTGGGAAGACAACATATAACAGGGAAAGGACATTCCAGGAGTGGGTAGGGTGAAACATACATAGAGTCCTTTCTAAAATGGTGGTCCCTAGGAGGGAGTTACCAGTGAAGAGAAGAGCGTCCCAGATAAAGAAAAGGAGGAGGATTTCAGAGTGCTGATAGGCCAGGGTCCACAGAAAATTAATGACAAACCCAGAAAAATAACCCAAATATCCCAATTCATCCAAAGCAACAACCATTATAAGCTATGTTAGCCAATTCAAGTCCCAAGAGTCCTCAGTGAGAGTAAAGCACGTACTTGGACCTATTACTATCTATGCCTGAATTACTAGAGGGAGAAAGTAGAAAAAAACTTGAGGAATAAGGGACATAGATAAGAGTGAGGGAAAATGGACAGAGAAAGAGAGAGAAGAAAAGAAAAGGCCTACTGGGATAGGGTGTCACCAGAAATTACTAGCAAGGTTGCATGCAGAGGTTGCATGAGACCAAATTGTGTCTCTCTGGTTATTAAATAATCATAAGCCCAGCAAAGACTGCCTGGGGTCTGTGTCTATTATCTTCACAGTGGCATATATATATATACATATGAGATTTCACATTTGCTCAGCCCCGATTCCCCTTGCCCATGGCCTTCTTCTGTGACTCATCACTTTCACCAGTGTAATGAAGTAGGCTTCTCTTTACATCCAGTCATCAAGCTAGTGTCAAAGCTCACAGTTTAATCAATGAAAGTGCATTTGCCCTGCACTCTTGTCATCTATGCTTTATTTTTCATTCATTCAGATGCTTATGTCTGTAATCTGAGCCTGACTGTGTGAGTAATTGATGCTTAATCCTTCCTTAAGGAACCAATTAATGTACCAGTGAAGCATGAACCCCAAAACACGAAATGCAGGAGTGGATTACTGTACTAGTTTATCAAGTGTACAAGTGAGTCAGTGGAGCCATCTACTTCGTAACACAACATTCTGTTGGAAAGTGAAAAAAAAAATCAGTCAAACAATAGGCTATTTGGCTTAGTCTACATTACCCAAATTTTATTTAACTAAATTTTTTGAGTGAACAGATTGACTAAATTAGTTACTGTTGTTGTTTCCACATCATATAAACAGAAAATTATTTCATCATACAGATAGAAGTTCCTATCTACAGATAATATTATCTTAGTTGTATCAAACCTAGAACAATACAGAGCTTCCTGGAAGAAATTAGTAGCCACTCAAAAGTGTTTGGCCTGACTATCCAAATAAGAAAGACCAAGTGGATGAAAAATATCCACTGTCAAGATTAGAATATCCAGTTGGACAATCTTTAGATGGACAGTCTTTAGAACTTTTCTACCAGTACCCATGTTTGGGATGGATATAGCAACGTACAAGGAGAAGAATGGCCTAGATTGGTTTCAGGAAGTTACAAAGCTCCTTTACTGACCCCAAGTTTCTCCCAAAAACAAAAGTTCATCTTTTTAATGACATTATTCTACTGGCTTTATTGTATATTTTCAATACATGTAACACAGTTGTCAGAAGGATTAAAAATATCTAGCTCATAAAAGGCAATGGAGAGGCACATCGTGGGAGTGAGTAGGCTACAACATATAACAAAAGGGGTTAATTTGAAGAAGAGTGAGATTTAAAGATATTATCAGGAAAAATTTATAGGAAAGAAAATGGGATAATCATGGGATGAGGAGCAGAGATGACAAGCAGACTTCCTGAGTACTCCTGGGGTGTTACTGTGATGATAGGAGAAGCCAAGGTTGACCTCCAGCACATTGGATGGATCCTGTGTGGTGAACTTGGGGGAAGCCCACATAAGAGTCACACAAGATGGGTAGGTATTGATAGCTTGTGAGCTGTACCACTGAAGGAAACTTTCAAATGAATGAATCACAGATCTGTCTGAGTAACTAAACCTACCTAGTATATGTAATACCTGGATTTCAGCCAGATATTTGATAGTATTTCAAGATATTCTTGTTAATAGATGGAGGAATGTGAGTTGGATGATAATTATCTCAGAAAAGTTCATACCCATATCTAAAGAGTAGACTAATGTCAATCACTAAAGGCATGGTGTAAGGGTCTGCCCTTTGTTTTTGCTTCTAAATGAAATGGTTATCAATAACTTGGATGAAGGGAAGCATACTTATAATTTAATGATGAAATTTAAAAGAGATAAATTTAAAATTCTTCACTGGAATAAAAAAACTGTAGGATTAGAGACACATTTGACAAGAG